CCATTAGCCATGCTTTTTACCAACTCAGTGATCTTGGAAATTTTACCTAACTTTTCCAAGTCTTATTTTTTCTGCAATAAAGGTATAATAGTATTTACCTAACGGGACTGTTGAAGGAATTGAATGGAGAGAAAAATCATGTGAAGCGCTGAACAGTGTCTGATAAATATTAGGTGCAACCCAACTCTTCTATAATATACATGTTTTTGACATAAGTGTATTGCTTATAAATTTTGAGTAATATTATTCTAAAAAGCAGAAAACTCAAAGACCCCTATCATTGTTTGAAATTATTTTTATTATGATATTCCCCAGACTCGTCTCAAACTCATGGGCTCAAGCCTCAGACTCCCAAGGTGCTGGGATTACAGATGTGAGCCACCAAGCCCTGCCAAAAACTCCACTTTTATAAAATCACCTTTGAACACTTTTCAGCTGGGATAGACTCACTTGTAGTCATAAAACTGTTAGATGGAAACAAACCAAAACAGCAGGATATCCTCTGACTTTCTAGTTTCCTTGGTTTCCCAGGAGCTGCCATCCTCTCTAAAGAAAGGACACTTAAATATTTACATACCTAAAACCAAGCACAAATGCTTCAAGAATTTTATACACACATTTTAATGTTTTCTTTAAAAATGTCTTTATTATACACGATCATGTATATTACAAGTAGACATCTATTCTCAACACTTATCTTTCCCAGACAGATAGCATACTTTTTGGAAGAAATTTTATATTCTATTAGTCTTTGGTTATTTGCAGCTTCCACACAAAGTATAAAACAAAGCAATCTCACACATTAAAATTAAAGCAAGCTATCAAGTCAAAGAAATGTAAATAACATATAATTTCATGAGATTGATAATGTTGCTTTGGCAGCCCTAAATCACAATCTGTAACATGAACATGGTACTGATGACAACACGGACTCTCTTAATTTAAACATTCCTTCATTAGGAAGAGCCTGATGATACAATCTCCCTCTGCCAGTTTTCTTACTCCTGAAAAATCTCTGTAAGTACAAACTGATGTATTATAGACCAAATATTAAGTACGTCTTTACGTTTTTCTCATTGACTAGAAAAGAATTTCATTAATCTAGGATGCCTTTGATTATTAAATACATAATTATTTTATATACCACTAAGAAAGAAAAATACTTCTAATTAAACTATGACACAATGCTGTCATCAATTTTAAGTGCATCATAATTTTAGAGGTACTAAACAAGTCTATCTTATGATCAATGAATACAATAGTGCTGCTTAGTACCACAGCAATATTTAATGTAAATCCAAAATTTGGCTCCTAAATCACTAACACTTTAAAATACAGAATATATTTATAATGCTTTCCTTTAAATTATCAGTGACCTGAAAAGAACATTTAAAAGACATTTCTAGGGAACTTGTGAAACCTAAAAATATGTATATGCATTCCTGGAATTCCGCCAATACTACTTTAAGAAACATTGACTTAGGCTTCATGTCTAAACCACGGTAACATCACTAAGGCATCAAAAATGTTATAGAAATTGATGAGATCACAAGGAAGCATTTTCAATTCTTAAAAGAGAACAAAGACCCTACTACTAACAGAAATTATTTTAACAGTTTATTTATTAAATGCCACTTGTGTATTGTAGAAAGACACCTGAGAAAAAAAGGTAAACCAAAAATTTTCAACTCTGTCTTTTTGGAAACTAAGAGTGTTCACTTTTAGTAATTAACTGCTATGTTCCAACACTATTTTAGCATTTTACATACATTACCCCAATGTGATATTATCCACATCTTCACTATACATCTATTATTTTAATGCATCTCGCTTTTTGGTGTAAATATTTTCCACTCAGTATGTGCTACAAAAATATCCATATAAACTCTGCCCATTCTATCATCTCCTTAATTTCCAACCTTACCTGAATTTGACATTTTTCTTTCCCTACAATTACACCACTCAACATCTATTATAGATAAGAAAACAGAGATGAAAAAAAGATTAAAACATTAAATTCATACATTATCATTTTACTAATAGATAACTACTCTTCTCTTGGCTATACAGCCTTTCAGAAGTTTTAATGCATGCAAAGCTTTATAATTCTCAAAAACGGGATATACTGTGTATATAGTCATGTAACCACCTTTTCCATTTAAGATTATATGCTGAATTTTTTCCATGTGAATAAATGTAGATGTCTATCAATATTTTCAATGGCTGCAGAATATTTAAATATGCAGATATATCTTAATTTTATGAGTAAAAAGCAGATAAAATCACCCATAGAGAACCAATAACATTCTGGGAGTATGCAGCAGAGTTTATGCAGAGATTATTAACATACATTTTCTTCATAAAAAGTATGGCATGTGCTTTTACAGCCTACTTTTCCCACTTAAGATTATATGCTGATGTTCTCACTTATTTGTGGTAGGTAAACATTAAAACAATTGAACTCATAAGAGAGTAGAATGATGGTTACCAGAGGCTGGGAAGGGTAGTGGAGGACTGAGGGGAAGTGGGAATGGTTAATGGGTACAAAAAATGGTTAGACTACACAATGGGAGAAAAATGTTTGCAATCTACTCATCTGACAAAGGTCTAATATCCAAAATCTACAGGCGCTTAAACAAATTTACAAGAAAAAAGCAAAAAACCCCATCACAAAGTTGGCAAAGATATGAACAAACACTTCTCAAAAGCAGGCATTTTTGTGGCAAAAAAACATGAAAAAAGCTCAACATCACTAATCATTACAGAAATGTAAATCAAAACCACAATGAGATACCATCTCACACCAGTCAGAATGGCTATTATTAAAAAGTCAAGACACAATAGATTCTGGCGAGGCTGTGGAGAAATAGGAACACTTTTACACTGTTGGTGAGAAGTAAATTAGTTCAACCATTGTGGAAGACAGTGTGACGATTCCTCAAGGATCTAGAACCAGAAATACCTTTTGATCCAGCAATCCCATTACTGCATATATACCCAAAGGATATAAATCATTCTACTGTAAAGACACATGCATGTGTATGTTTATTGCAGCACTATTTATAATAGCAAAGACACGGAATCAACCCAAATGCCCATCAATGATAGACTGGATAAAGAAAATGTGGTACATATACACCATGGAATACTGTGCAGCCATAAAAAGGAATGAGATTATGTCCTTTGCAGGGACATGGATGAAGCTGGAAGACATCATCCTCAGCAAACTAACACAGGAATAGAAAACCAAACACTGCATGGTCTCACTCATGTTGAACAATGAGAACACATGGACACAGGGAGGGGAACAACACAAGCCAGGGCCTGTGGAGGGTGTGGGGCAAGGGGAGGGAACCTAGATGACAGGTTAATAGATGCAGCAAATCGCCATGGCACACGTACACCTATATAACAAACCTGCACGTTCTGCACATGTATCCCGGAACTTAAAGTAAAATATAAATAAATAAATAAAACTAAATTGCTAGAAATAGTAAGATCTAGTATTCGATAGCACAACAGGGTGTCTACAGTCCATAATAATTTAATTGTACATGGTAAAATACCTAAAAGACTATAATTGGATTGTTTGTAACACAAAGGATTAATGTTTGAGGTGATCAGTACCCCATTAACCCTGATGTGATTATTATACATTGCATGCTGCTATCAAAATATCTCATGTAACCCATAAATATATATACCTATTATGTACCCACAAAAATTAAATTTAAATTTTGAAAAAAATTATATGCCAAATTTCTAATGTAAGTAAATGTAGATGTCTATCAACATTTTCAATAGCTGTATAATATTTAAATGTGTAAACATACATTAATTTGTTTAGCTGACTATCTTGAGATAGTTGGGTCATTTTCAACTTTTCACCCTTCAAAACAGTTTGAAGATGCACAGCTTTCTACAAGCCAATTATGTGATTATTTCCTAAAGATACATTTCTATAAGTGGAATTAACAGGTCAAAGGATGTGCATATATTCCAACGGACCTTGTGACAGTGTATACTCTCACCAGCTGATTGAGAGCACTCCTCCCCCCACACCCTCACCCTCACTATGGGGTGGGAGAGAGGTAGATCTTCTATGTGTATCCCAACAGCACTCTCTATGGTTCCATAAAGGCCCCACCTTAACCAACCTTATAAAGGAAATCTGATACAAGCACTAAAACTTATTCTTTCTTCTAGTATACTTTCTTCTTATTTCAAAGTAGTAACTGTTCACTTACATGGATACCAGAATTGGCCAAGAGGACATTTTTCTGTCAAATGCCCCCAGGACCCTAAAATAAAATTGATCCTCTTTGTGTGTCTCCAGAATACATCTCAGCACTTTTTGGTTCAAAAGGTCTCTCATTTCCATCCTCTCCTTACCATTCCTATGGCCACCAATAAAATTTCACGCCTGTATTATCTCATGCCTGGACTAACTTGTGGTAGCTTTCTGTTTTTCCAATCTCCAGTCACCACTCCTATCCCCACCCCAGCTTGGATTCATGCTGCACATAAATCTACCATATTATTTTCCTTTCATCTTGTCAATCTTCTGGTCACAAAAGGCCTTGATGTCTCACAGGGGTGGGTGGGGTAATATTCAGATACCCCAGTTTAGCAGTTAGGGGTGCTCTACGAACAGGACTCACCTCTACTGCCTGACTCTCTCTCTCATCACTACCCTCCCTACACTTTCTCTTCCAGCAGGCCAGCACTTGTCTCTGAAGAAGGATTCCCATCTCCATGCCTTTCTTCCCATCTTTCCTCCCATCTTGAGTGCCCTTCTGACCCTTTGTATCCTGTTTTCAAACCCAACTTACTTAAGAGTTCTCCTCCTCTGTAAAACGTTCCTGGAGCATTGTTGCCTGTAGCTGTTTCTGCTGCCTCTAAACACTGATGGTTTCCCGGTTTTGTTAATATCTCTTTGTTTTAGTTTCCATATATCTTACCTTTCCAAACAGATCATAAATTCAAGGACAGTGACAATGTTTTTTCTCTGCTGCTTAAAACACAACTTTATTGATGAAACACAAGTCTTAGATTTAAAAATATAAACTAATATAAAAGTATAGCTTATTCATGATGTATAACTAATTCACTGTCAGTTTAGGTAGCGGAAAGATTAAAAATAATGTAGGTAACAAGATCAAATCAATAAATTCTTTCTGTGTAGAAGTACTAATATTCCATTTGGCATCCTTAAAATGGCCCCGCCTAAGCCCAACCATCACAACCAACATCAGTCACTTTTGATGATATATGATATTCATTATTCCAAAATAGCAGCTGTAAAGATCTCTTTACCATATAAGCACAGTGAAAAACAAAGAATTTACAAAATACATTGTCCCAAGTGCAAATACCTCAATACTGTTTGGGACACACTCCAAATTAGAGTTTGGTCAATACTTTCAGGACTTTTACTTTCACCACCAGATCATTGTGATTTGCTAATGCTTTGATTTTCTTAACACAAACTCCAGACTCTTTAAATAAGAAAAAAAGTGAACTTCTGCTGAATTCTTTCCTGGATGATGCAAGCCCTTCACTTTTGATGTTGTCATTTATATTCTCAAATAGAGTAAGGATATTAAGAAGAATCTCTCTATCCCATTCTTTATTAAAGAGGGAAATCAATTCTGATGGTACTTTACAACTGACCAGCTCTCTTGTCATGGCTGGATTTTCCGTAAAGTTTATAATTAGTTTCATAATCTGTATCTTAGTGAAGTGATTTCCCAGGAATAACAAAGCAAAAAAGTCTGGAAAAGAATAGGAAAGCAAATGTTGGTAATGATTAGTCACAGTCATGTTGGTTAACAGTCTTAGACCAGCCATCTGCACAGCTGAGTCCAAGCGACAGACCATGGTGTCATCACACACTTGACTGATGTACGTCTTAATCTTGCCCTGATTTTCAGCGTTCACACTCAAGTTATTAAGGGCATTGTAAGTCTTTTCTCTAATTATGGGGTCTTTCGTTTTTATCAGTTTTGCAATAATTGGGACACCACCCAATTCACGTATGGCATTCTGGTTAAATGAATACGCTGCATTGTTACCCAGAGTGACCAAGGCTACTTCTTGAATAAAAGGATCATTTGTTCGCTCCAGTATGTTGAGGACCTTTTGAAGGTCGGGTGCACTCAGAATATCATCAATTTTATAAGGAAAGTTGAACTTGCCCCTGCGGACAGGCCATGTTGTAGCTGGAGCCCTGGTGCTCTTACTTCGGGCCTTTCCCTTGGATTTTCCACTTGCCCTGCCTCCAGCCCTAGATCCACTCCTGGTGGGATGGCAGCCTCCACCCCTGCCTCCTGGGCATGGTAAACTCGGTGCAAGGGTCCTGTTCCCAGAGATGATACCCACCCTGACCCCTTTGCCTGCCTTTGCACTTGCCTGTTCCTTCAGCATGTTGAAAAGGGCCTTGGCTTTGGCCTCTAGGCCACCTCCGCTGTGGGATCCTGAGTGGACCTTCTCTTTTACACCTGGACAATTCTCGAGTCCCAAACTCACCTCAGGCTTGACCTTAGAGTCACTGTGAAGTTTGGCCCCAGACCCTGCCCCAACGTTAGCTTTAGCTCCTTTCACAGTCTCAACCCCAGTCTCTGAAGTGTCCGTGGACTCCTCGTCTTCATCCAAGATTTTCTCGTTCTCATCTCTTCCCCAAGTCAGTTTGTATACACAGTAGCAGGCACCAGCCCCGATAACCACACCAGCAGCCACGCAGCCAGCTTCCCGAGTGCGGCCCATGGTATGGCCTGGACAAATCTCAACCAGAGCACAAAACAGGCTTGCTCTGGCCCAGAGAAGCGCGCGACGTTGCGGGCAGAGTCTGCAGCTACTATCCGGCTGGCTCTGAGGCAGCTTGGACCTAGGAATAAAGGATGCATTTCAGGTTTCAGGCTCCTCCTCCTTTTGTATCTTTGCAAGCAAACAGACTGCAACAACGACAAAACAAACAAGTGTACAAAAATACGGAGATATTGGTAGAGACGTGGGGCTTGATGTCTAGATCACTGATTCCTTTCTCCCATCCGGAAGCCAAGTTTGGAAATTTTCCCCACTTCCAGACTCTCCAACGTCACGTTCCACCACCCCACCCCAGAACATCAAAGTTACCTACCACCCCTGCCCTTCCAGATGTCCTGGGGACAGTGGCGCCCTCACATGCACCCACAGAAGTCCAGGAAGTTTTTCCTTCTCTGTATTGCTTCCAAGTGCACTGCTTCGAGCAAACCTGCAGACAAGGGGGCGTGAAGAGGAGTGCTGAGAACTCGGGGACAAACAGATCTCACCTGAGACACACATCCCTCTTTTGAATTCCTAGCCCTTTTATCTGCCTTGCTCAATGTTTCCCGCCTTCGGTTACCCTCCTCTTCTCACACAGCTGCGGCTTTGAAATTCATTATCTTCCTCCCTCTTCCTCCTTCGATGATTCCTCTAACCCTCCACTCCACCTCCACCCCCACGCCCATCATTGGCATCCTCCGAAGATGTCATCAAACCCTATTCTTTGTAACAAAATGAATAATGATGAAGTGAGAATAGCTAAAAGCCGGACTGGCGTGAAAGGCGTAAAGGTTTCGAACTCTGCCCTTGCCTCCACCAACTCCTCCAAGTCAAAGGTACCAGGACGCCGCCACATCCCCACCCCCTACCCCCACCCCTGCGTCATTATACCAAGTACTTTGCTCGGGAGCAACTTGTTTCCTCCCCCATCTCAGTTTCCGCTTCCACTAAACCTTCAAGACTGACAAACTTCAGAAGTGAGTGCTTGGTCGACGGACCAACACCAAGGACAGTGTAACCCAAACGGTAATTTGGAGTAACGTGCTCCCCACCCCAAGACTCTCTTGACGCCCACCCCTTCCCAACTATTTTCTTCCCTGTCTTGTACTTGCAGAGTAGTTTCTTTTGCAAGCTCCGAAAATGGTGTAGATAAGAGGGAAGGAGGGAAATGTGGAGGGGGTCCACTGGCCCACTTGAGTTGCAGTGGCCACCATGCTCCACCCCCAAATAATGCCACCATCCTCTTTAGGACCTACTTGGTTCTGGACAACTGTGCGTTTCTTCCTGCTCCAAGGGTTGGACTGGCTTCCGGGCTCAAGATCTGCAGACACAGGCAAGAAGGCAGAGACTGATGGCTCAGCAGACAGAAAAGCACTTCGGAGAGTCCCAATACCCGCTTTTCTTCATTAAGGGTCCTGGCTGTCAAATAGATTTTACCTTTTTGTCTCTCACCCTACCCTCACTTCTCTGGAGTCGGCTGACACCAGCCCTCTGGCTACGTAGCGTCCCCCAACCACGAGCCCCACCCCCGGGCCCCGCCCCCGGCTCCCGGCTCCCGGCCCCTCACTCCCTCCCGCAGTCCCCGCGGTCCGCCATTTTCCCAGCTGAAAACACACCCCTTTCAAACCACGCCCCTTTCAAACCACTGGAAGCAGGGCGGGGCGAGGGGGGATTCGGAAAATCCGAGGAGCAAAACAAAACCAACCAGATTTCTCCTATCCCTTTCCCCAAAGCACCCTACCCGCAATGACAAACACTTTTCCTGTAGGCGCTGTTACATCCTCTTTTCCTGCAAAAAAAAAAAAAAAAAAGGCAGGAAGATTGCTTGAGAGTGGGTAAGGGGCCCGAGTTAAGGCAAGGACTTCAGCCATCCCCGTCCGTCTCGGGGCCGCGGAGCAGCCCCAGGTTTACACTGACCTGCACATTCCAGGCAGACTATTCCTTTGTTCCCAAATGGCACAGTGCCCTACTGAAAGAAAAGGGGAATGACTGTCAGACGCACAGCCCCAAGACTCTGGACTGGTAGATGGACCAGCGCACAGGAAATGAATCCGAGTATCTGCCCTCCCTGATTCAAGGCTCTGGATGTCAAAGGTCCCACTACTCGCGAGTCTGGGGTCGCCCCTGCAATCCGGCCCCAAGGTCCACCCTTTTTGTTCTAGGGCCAGGCATATTGCAAGGGTTTGCAGAAAGCAAACTGTGCTCCCGCTTCGGCCTCCACCCGTTACTGCCCACACCGCAGGGATCCCCCAGTAACGCCCATCCACACACAAACCTGCTGGGATCCAGGCAGTTACCTCCTCCTCCTTCCCCCAGGCCAAGGATCCTCTCGCCCTCTGTGAGATAGAAGGCAACCGGACCAAATGAAGACTAGGATTAAAAGGACGTCTGCACTCGTCGGCTCCAGCTCACGTGAGGGCCACGTCACCCGTGAGATCAGGACCCCAATTACCACTCCCATCAGCAGTGCCGCAGGAGCCAGTTCTCCCCTTGCTTCCCTGACACATCAGGTCCTGCCACTCATTTTCCTCTTTGCCAACCCCGGAGACAAGAAGTACCTTCTCATTGTGGTTGGAATTTCCCTTTCTTTGGTTTACAGTGAGATGGTGTACTTGCTCCTGTGTCCATTGGCCTTTTCTTCCTCTTTGATGAATAATGTTTTATCTTCTCTAGTCCCAGTCCAACTGTCTTTCCCTTCACCTTCTCTCACCACCAGGCATGAATGTCCAATATTTCCTCTGCAACCCTATAAAATGTGGAGCAAGATGTTAGAAAAGGAGATAGGTCGTGGAAGTGTCTTATTTAAACTTTTCTGCTCATTTGTTTTTAACTCAGTAATGCATTACTTCTATATTGAGAAAATAAAATGATGCTACTTTCCTTTGAGTTGAGAATTTAAACAGGACAGAAAGCCCAAAAAGCCTTATTAATTTCATTATTTTATTTGTAACAAAAGGAAAATATTTCCACTGGTTACAGCCAAATAGTAGCTTTTAAGACAAAATAACTCATTTTAATATTCAAAACTGGGCTGAGACGGTGGATTGCTGAACCCCAGGAGTTTAAGGCTGCAGTGAGCTATGATCTCACCACTGCACTCCAGCCTGGGTGACAGAGAGCAAGACTCTATCTCTTTAAAAAAAATTTTTATTTTTTGTAAGACGGAGTCTCGGACTGTCACCCGGGCTGCTGTGCAGTGGCATGATCTCAGCTTGTTGCAGCCTCCATCTCCTGGTTCAAGCAATTCTACCTCAGCCTCCTGAGTAGTTGGGATTATACACACCCACCACCATGCCCAGCTAATTTTTTGTATTTTTAGTAAAGACAGATTTTCACTATGTTGGCCAGGCTGGTCTCAAACTCCGACCTCGTGATCTGCCCACCTCGGCCTCCCAAAATGCTGGGATTACAGGCAAGAGCCACTTCGCCCAGCCGGATTTTTTTTTTTTAACGTGACCTATGAATTAATCCACAGAGAGGCAACTAGTTGTCTAATCTTGATCATTTTATACAAATGATTCATTACTTTTTCTACTTTTGAATCAACTTGCAATTTGATAAGATAAAAGCAACACAATCCTGTCTTGTTTAATTAAAGAAAAACATGTATTTAACATCCCAAAGTCTTGGCAGACTGTTATATGGACCTCTTGTGATTTGATGGCTACTCTGATCACCTGTCTCTGAATTGAATTTCACTCTACCAAGGCTAAGACACCTTAGGATGTGAAGGATGCAGCGATGTTCTAATCCTACCTGTCTGTCAAGAGCAGAAGAAAGTGTTGCCCTCTCACCCTCCCCCATTCCATAGCCTTTCATCCCCTGTATTCAGGCACTGATCTGTTGTTCACTCCAAAAATATATATGGATGGGTGACCAAGGTAGTAAATGCCAGGTTTACTCAGGTGACCAATCACAGTAAATTACCTTTGGCTCCTTCCTTTCCTTCCCCAAATTCCCACAGAGGTAACTCAGCAATGCATCAAAGGGCTTACTGTTCCTGCCTACCCCTCTGCCCTTATTCACGGTGCCTGAGTGAAGGTTGCTCCTAATACTGTATGCTGCCACCACCTGACTTGACAGGTGCAGCCAGCTGGGCCTCTTGCCTCAGGCTTCCTTAAGGAGACACCCTAATCTTATTGCAGAGTTACTGCCTGCCAGTCCATATCCACCTTGGTGCCCACTCAGCCAAATGTATGCCCAAGGAACAATCGCCACAAATTAACCCAGAGCAGGCACTCTCACCCTGCCGACTTTGTGGGCCACCTGCAATTGCATGCATCCATATATTAATTTTCATGGAGAAAGGAGCCATAGCTTTCCTCAGATTCCCACAGGCATGTATGACTTTTTAAAAATAACTAAGAACTATTAATACTTTCCCAAAAAAAAAAAAAGCTATATATCCCCTCAATAGAAAGTCTACTCTTCCCTAGCACTATGGGAGGCTGAGGCAGGCAGATCACTTGAGGTCAGGAGTTAGAGACCAGCCTGGCCAACATGGTGAAACCCCGTCTCTACTAAAAATACAAAAATTAGCCAGTCATGGTGGTACACACCTGTAGTCCCAGCTACTTGGGAGGCTAAGGCTGGAGAATTGCCTGAACCCGGGAGGCAGAGATTGCAGTGAGTCGAGATTGAGCCATTGCACTCCAGCTTGGGCAACACAGCAAGACTCTGTCTCATAAAAATAAAAAAGAAAGAAAGAAAAGACAGTCTATTCCTCTCCCCTCTTCTCTGTATCTAGCTATATACTTATTTTTTTAAGTGCAGAAATCTGTAAAATAGAAAGCTAAATTGCCCTGCAATGCCTATTCTACCACCAAGCACTTTCAATGATATCCACCTTTCTTCTTGCAAATATGCAGTACATGTATGCGGATGTGTCAAGTTCCAACTTCAACAATATACAAAACAATTGACATTTACTGCAGTACTTGCAATAAATCTGCACTTTAATTTGATAATTTATATCTTTAAAAATGGAGAGGAGCATCACACACTGTGGTCTGTTGAGGGTGAATAGGGGAGGGACAGTGGGGGGTAGGGAGGTTGGGGAGAGATAACATGGGGAGAAATGCCAGATATAGATGACAGGGGGGACAGAGGCAGCAAACCACATTGCCATATATGTACCTATGCAACAATCCTGCATGTTCTCCACATGTACTCCAGAACCTAAAGTGCAATAAAATGTGTGTGTGTGTGTGTGTGTGTGTGTATATATATACATATACACATAATAAAATTTTAAAAAGGAACTATCCACCTATTCTTACTTCAGTAAGTTGCATCCAGAAATCATCTGACTTTAAGTACAATTTGATTAAGATTTTGCTTCATTTTTCTATAATTTTCTCTGCTGTACCTTTCCTTACCTATAGACTTTATCCTTGATTGTGCATTCTTATGGTATCAAAATAGCTGCAATAGTTCTAGGCCTCACACCAGCATCTCAGTCAGAGTCCTAGCCAGGAAAAAAAAATCAAAATCAGATGCTTCAAGGGACTTTAATGTAGGGACTACTTACAGAAGTATATAAGAGATTATGAGACCCAACAAGCAATTTTATGGCATCCAGAGGCTAGCAATAGCAGGAAGCTGTTGCCCTAGGTCTAAAAGGACAAGAGGAAAAAATAGTATTTCTGGAGCCTAGTAAGAGCTAGAGTCATGGAGGAGGGGCCTCTGGCAGAAGCTAAAATCTTGAAGGAATGCAGTCACTGACAATAAAACATAGCCCAAATCAGAGTGGGAACAGTGCAGAAATACATTGTCTTCTCTCTTCTGTCCTCCAAAGCTGTGCCAGTGCATTCCATTGACCAAACCCAAGCAGAATTCAACTACAAATGCAGTCTAGGGGATGCAGTTTCTAGTGATCATCCTCCCAGGGCACAGAACAAAACAGAGAAGGGCAGAAAATGAATCAGGATGTGTGGGAAAATAAAGACTAACCACCATGGTCCTCTCCTTTCACATTCAGCATCTATTCTTGTTATTCTATTCTCCCAATAGGGAGGCAGGGATAAAAAAAAATCCCACCAGCCACTGTACTGTTATGAGATAATGCTAATTCAATCACATTCCCCCACCTGAAACCCGATTTATAACAATTATCTCGAGTATTTTTCATATAATCAGAGGAAAGGAAGAGAAAAATAAATTAACAAAGATGTGCATAGCTGTTACAGTTTCCCTCTGAAGCTGATCATGAGGCCAAAGTCAGTAATCAACTTCATTCTTCTAGCACCCATTTCATATTCCCCTTACAGTAACCTGGTTAAAATTATTTCCCTGATACAGTGACCCTAATCTTCAATCCTGTGTTTATTGAATTTTTGCATTTTCCCACTGACCAGGACTATTAGGCAAAGCAGTACTAGGAGGTGCTCCAGTGAGTATCCCTGGGCTCTGAGCATTGTTCTCCATGTTTGTATAGCAGGAACATTATTTCCCCTTAAAATTGGGCTCAGTCACTCCAGCCAGTATAGCAGTTCAGTGGCACGAGAGGACAAAAATGGCAAGAATGTAGTCTTAGCTTTTAATGTAATGGAACTATGGCTTTATTCCCTGGTGAAAGCATTCATCCCTGCTGTGCCTAAGAGTCCAAGGTTGTGGAGACAGAAAAAAAAAACATATATTTCTTCAGTAGGTTAACCGATGTAATCATGAAAAGTGCCACTCCTTCCATGACTTCTTTATTCCCAGTTCTGTGTAACCTCACTATGGGGAAAAAGAAAGCACAATATATGGGTGGTTCTGTTAAAGCATCTATTGCAATCTTGTAGTACAGGACTCCCAGGAACAGCTGACCCCATAACTAAGCTTCCAGTAAGTTATTTATTTTTTTATAAGGCAAGCTGCTTCTGCATGGTAAAGTAAGTAGTGAAGACTAGTGAATCTTTGGATCTGTACTTCACTTACCATCAGAGAAAACTTGTGATGATTAAGGCATTCAGAAAGTCCGTGGAGATGGTGCTGACAGAACCATTGTCAGCAAAGAGGGTAAATGTGTGTCTAAAATACATATTCATTTCCATGAGGAAAAGTTTCTGTTTTCATCATGATGAAAGGTGCCCCATGTAATAATCCTACAACCTAAGAAATGGTGTCTTATAGAGGCTCATCATCTTCTCTGTTGTTAGGTTGGGCACTTAGTACAAGATCAGCCTTGGTGAGTAAAAGCCTATATTGTTGAATTCAGGCATAGCCTCTATAATATTGATGCTAAAATCTAGCAAAGATAACATAGACATAAAAATATGACTATTGCACTATTGTTTTGCCACAGTACTAGCTTGAATTTACTAATATTTTATTTTTGATATTTACATCTATATTTCTAAGTTAGACTGACCCCTCATGTTTACTTTTTTACTTCTATTCTTCTTTGTTTGGACATAAGCATTATGTTAGCCTTAGAGAACGAATTGGGCAAATTTCTACATTTTCCTATGCTGTAGAACACTTTTTTTTTTTTTTTTTTTTTTTTTTTT